GACTTTAAAGGACCATTCTTTAAAAAAAGTATGACCGCAAAGCTAATAAAAAGACTTTCGGTCCCCACTAAAAAATAGCCAGCAGGAAAAATATCCTACCTCCTGGCAAGCCTGATGGGACATAGTGATTTAAGAGAAATAAAAATTGCGAACTAATAAAAATCCATTTTTTCAGGCAATCTAGCATACTTGCGTTAGTTGGCTTTATGACCGAGAATTATGACCCAAAAATCAAGTCATGAAACAAACATACAGCAATTTTCGGCCCGAAATAAAATATGGCAATATTATAGGACTGTACATGATCAGATGACCAGAAGACACCCTGAAAATGGAGTATTTGGCAACATTGCTCCTTAGTTCAACTGCAGCACTCGAGATTTCTTGCTCTGAAGGAGATAGTTTAGTAAAATACATACAGACTGCCAAAGCGACGATACGAGAGAATTCCATGACTTGATTTCCCTTTCGACTAATTCAATGGTTTCTCTGTGGAGAATTCAATGACGTCGTTTCCCTTTCAACAAATTCAATGATTTCTCTGTGGATAAGGGTGGACTGAAATCCTTCCAACAATTTTCTGATGGATTTTTCTAATCAAATTCTCATTCAAAACGAGGATGAGACAAGAATGAAATCCTGACTTACCTGCGCCTGGTTTGAGCAGTACCCTCTTGCAATTCAGTTATCATGTTGTGGTGAACGTCCTCTTTTTGCTCTTGTAAGAAATGGTAACTCACAGCATTTAAAGTGTAAGATCTGAGTTTGTAATCACGAAGTAAAACCTAAAAAAAGAGAAAATAAGTAAAATTTAGAGAATTTATGCACGACCTGGAAACCAGGAGAGAGTCAGGAGTAAAAATTTTTCTTGGAAATTTAAGTGATTTTCATAAAATAACTTAAATATTTTTCTACCATACATTACAGAGCATATCGACGGTGTAAGTTGGCAATCACATTACTCTGTTTTGCGACGTCGCAGACTTCCTGTCATACTTCATTTTTTGAATGGAAAACTACTCAACGGCAATTTTTTAAAACTGCCGTGATTTTTCTTCTCTGTGCGGAAAAAATTCTGCAAAAACTTCAAGAAATTATGTCAATTTGTTCTCCTTAAAAAAAATAACATACAGGTGGAGATTCTCAGACACTGCAAACAAGTTATGTGATTGCCGACTTACACCGTCGATATAGTAATTTTTTAATGGATGTCAGAATCGCAGTAAATGTTGAAAGACCTTGGTATATAATTTTAGTCTACTGTAACAAGAAATAAATAATATTAGCAATGATTAATTTTGAGTTTTGCATGGATAATACTTACAAATAGAAGATCAAAAGGCACTCGACCTTCAAAATTTATGTTCTTGTTTTCTCGTCTCCCCATCTGTTTGCTTTGGATTATTTGATCCTTGATGACAGATCTGAAAATAAAGTCAAAGAATTAAGATAATGTCTGATAATTCTGTCTTGTTAGGCTGATAAAAGATAATTAGAGAGAGTAGCGCCCTAACAAGTCTCTCGCTGACTGCAAATAAGAACGATAAAAATGCCTATTTGATCGGTTTAGAAAATGTTGCCGCAGTAAGTTATACAACATCTTTTAAGACATTGCAAATTGATCTAAAATGTGATGGTTAAAAAAATTTCTTCAAAATTTTGAAGCTGATTTGTCGAACAATTGAAAAGTCAAAGCAATTTTGCGCTCTAGAACAAAGTTTGTCTAGATATCGTGTTTGTTATAACGAAGAACTTGCAAACTTCATACAATACCGAAGTCATTGTATTGAACAGTAAATTTATTTCATTATCAGATATGGATTCTGAAAATTGTTAATCTGAAAACAGGACTTTGAAAAGTAGTAGAGCTGTGCGATTCGAACGTTAATTGTAATCGCAAATAAATTGTTTTACCATGATCGTAATCGAATTTGATGGTATTTTGTCTGGTAATAGTCTTGAGAACCCCTGAGTATGTAAGTCATGTCTATCAACATTATTCCTCAGCCCCCCGCCGCATTGTTTCTTCGATTACCAATGACTGTAGAATTTATGTCTACAGCCGACATTCTGTAGGAAATTTGAGGTAAAGTATGAGCATTTGCAGTCTTGTGAAAGATCCCTCAAGAATTCACTTACTTTAACTTTGCATTGGGTCACAGAGACAAAAAAAAAATAAAGATGATACAAATATGATAATTTTTTCCCTTTTATCCAATTTTAATCGTGATTCTAATCGCAATTAAATTCGTGTATTGTAATCCAATCGTAATCGAACAAAAAATCTTTAATCGCACAGCTCTAAAAAGTAGGATTGAGAGAAAATGAAAAACAGAATTTGAGCCATCTTACCTTGTATCTTTTATCCTACCCAAGAAGGAAAAATTATGAACGTTGAGATGCTTAGCTCTATTGATTAAGTAAGGAAAATCGAAATTATTAATATTATAACCAGTGAATACATCAGGATCCGATTCTCGAACAAAATCTGACCATCTCTGAAACAGATTATATAAATGAGAAACAAGAAAACAAAAAATGAGAGAAAAAACCTCCTCATATACTGTATAATCAGTTGATTTTTTTTTTATGTTTTAGAATAAATTTCATCAAAGTTTAAATAATGAACTGTTACCCACTGTTCCGTTAAATGGTAGAAATGGATAAAAGAATGAACGTTTCTTGAACAAAATTATGGAGAGAATAAAAGATAAGAAAAGGAAAAGGAAGAAAATGATTACCTACTTCTTTCTACTAGTGGGGAGCAGCTATACTAAAAGCAAGTCGGAATGCGTTTGGGCTGAGCTGCTGGGGAGCATAAAATTAGAGAACTTCAAATTTTCTAGTAACAGACACTAACACACCCTTTTGATATTTTTGTTAGGGCAGCACGTTCCTAGAAAATAAATTTTGCTGCCTGAATGACAATTAAATGTTTAGTTTTCAGTTTCTGGTCATGACTTCTTTTAAAAATATTTAAATTCCCGAAATTTGTTTCTTTAATCACCGAATCAAAAATAACAAATCTTAGGAGCAAACAACACAAATGCCAGCTACCTTTTAGGTTTTAAGAGGAAAATACTACATTGGAGTAGCAGATTTGACCCATACCTGTAACAATTCCATCTCAGTATCACAGCTAATTACTTGGCATCCGACAATGGGGGCACATTCCTTTAACGTAAAAACATTTCGTATGAATATTTCGGGCTCTCCTTGCTGTATGACCATGTTTGCGATTTGTATGACAGGATCATGATTTGGCTCCGGAAATATTCCTGAGGAAGAGAAAAAATGGGGGAAAAACTGAGTAAGAACCATGTGAGTTGAACATTTTAGCTTGATTATTAACTAAGACCTAAGACTGCATGTACTCCTATAATATCATCATTTTAACAAGAATGATAATAGCCTTTGTTGTTGTGCAAGGTCTTAACAAACTCGAAAAGGAAAAATTTCCCACATTTTCCACATTTTCCCTCCCCAAAATAAAGGAAATACAGACTATTTTGATGAATATGCTACCAATTCGCTATTGAGCCCATAACATTTCCTTGTTTTTCCCTGCAATAACTGTAAAATTTTTGTCCGGATTTTTCAGCTTTTTACAATTTTTTTCATTAGAAATAAAGGAATGTTCAATGAATCTTTTTTTAAAGCAAATCTTAATACAGTATTTCATTGGAATCTATGCGCAATGTGTCCGGTCACCACAATACCTGCAGTATTGGAAAGATAACTAAATTATTATATCATTCCTTCCATTTCAATGTTTGTGCTTTGCCTCTCACAACTATTTTGAGAAAACAATTTAAAAGTACCTTTCCTGCCAGCACATTCAATATCAAAGCTAAGGATTCTGAAAGGGGCAACCTTGCTCCATTCACCCTCAGGCAAATGAGAAATGAGATCTTCGCAACTGACATCAACCTCAATCTGACACCGGGATGTTACGCGGAGATCTGACTGAGGACGTCTCTGCCACGTGCCTTTACCAAGTTCTACCCAACTGCAACCTACAATATTTTTATCCACCATGAACCTGGAAAAACAATGACGCATTCAATATTTTTTTCCAGAGTTTGTAGGAAAAAATAAACAAAAAATGAAGGCTTCATGAGCACAGAAGTGTAGAGGAAAATTCCTGCTTCACTTCTTTTTTGTATAGTTATAAAGATACATAGTTTCCATGCAATAGTGTGTCTACTGGTGCATGATCATTTAAAATCCTTGATTTTTCATTGCTTTTGTTATGCTTTGCAAAAACTTTCTCTTTTCAGGGGTTTCCTGAAATCCTTGCTTTTTCATTACCTTCAATATTTTTGCAAAATGGAGAGACGTTTGGATTTGAAACCTGGAAGGTGGGAAATCTGGGGAAATGATCTGAAATAAGCAGACTGTGACTGAGGTTTCCCTAGAACATCATAAAATAAATTATTGGTAAAAATAGCATGAGTACTAAAAGGTTCCTTCTTCAAGTGTATCTCAAAGAGCCTCGCCAAAAAGTGGTGTTTTTTAGCCCCTTTTTTTATACCCGAGTTGGT